AGGATGGAAATGAGAGAGAGAATGAGAGCGAGGGAGGATGAGAGAGAGGGAGAGAAGAGAGAGAGAGAGAGAGAGAGAGGAGAGAGACCCGCTAGGTATTATATAATCAGCACGCCTTTCATCTAATAGCTGCAGCGTCCACCTCCTCCCCGCCTGGTCATCCCATTTCGGTCTTAATCTTCCTTCCTCTTTTTCATTTCTCTCTTCTCTTCTGTCTCTTTATTTCTCGTTCTCTCTGATTCTGCTTTCGTCTTCGTTTTTCCTCCTTTCGTCTTCGTTTCTCCGTTTGTATTTGTCGCTCATTCGTCCTCGTTTTTTTTTTCTCTCTTTTTTTTCGCTTTGATTCTCTTTCCTCTTTTTCATTTCTCTCTTCTCTCCTTTCTCTCTATTTTTCGTTCTCTCTCATTCTCTCCTTTCGTCTTCGTTTCTGCGTTTCGATTTGTCGCTCATTCGTCCGCTTTTTTTCGTCGTTTTGTTCGCTCTTAATCTCTTTCGTTTTCCTGTTTTTTCTTTCTCTTCTGTTTCTCTTTCTCTCTCATTTTCCTCATTCTCTCGCTCAATATCCCTTTCTCTTTTATTCTCTTCTCTCTTTCTATCTCATTATTTTCCACTTCCCTTTCTCTATCAGTTTCTCACGTCCCCTATTTACTTCTTTTCCCTCTCCCTTTCTCCCCTATCTCTCCCTCTCTCTTAATTTCTCTTTTTGTCTATTCTTAACTCTTCATCTTTTTTGCCGCTTCTTCCTCTTCTTCTTCTGTCGCTCCATTATTACATAACAGTCTCTCCTCTTCTATTATCCTATATCCTTTAATTTATCGTCTAATTTCGCCCGCCTATCTCATCATCTTGCATCTTATTTCCTTCCGTTTCTTATCAGTCCCATCCACTTATCCACCTCGTTTACTGATATTTTTTTCCCATCTCTCACTTCTTTCCCTCTATTATCAGTTGTTGTTTCATTTCCGTATTTGTAATGCAATGCTAAATTTTGTTTCAACACTGTTATTAACATTATCTTATTTATTAGGATGTACGTGTTCTTATAGGTATGGTTATTAGCCGACATGAATGCGTAGGTACATCTCTCTCTCTTTCTCTCTCTCTCTCTTTTTCTCAATCTTTCTCTCTCTTTCTCTCTCTGTTTCGCTCTCTCTCTCTCTCTCTCTCTCTCTCTTCTTTCTCTCTCTCTTTCTTTCTTTCTCTCTCTCTCTCTCTCTCTCTCTCTCTCTCTCTCTCTCTCTCTCTCTCTCTCTCTCTCTCTCTCTCTCTCGCTCTCTCTCTCTCTCTCTCTTTCTCTCTCTCTCGCTCTCTGTCCATCTCTCTATCTGTCTATCTATCTGTCGCTCTCTCTCCCTCTCTCTCTCTCTCTCTCTCTCTCTCTCTCTCTCTCTCTCTCTCTCTCTCTCTCTCTCTCTCTCTCTCTCTCTCTCTCTCTCTTTCTGTCTCTCTGTATGTGTGTGTGTGTATCGTATACATGCATACCTGCGGCACACATACACACATCCCACCCTCACATAGAGCACAAACAGCCAGACACACACACACACACATCGACTCATTCCCACGCGTGTTCAGAGATGTTATTTTAC